AGGAATGTTTTTGCATAAAGACTTTTTTCCTCAGCAACTCTTTCTCATAACCAATTATTTCTTTCTAAAACTAGCCCCCTTTTCTATCTCAGGTCTTCACCTTCAGAATGATAAAATATGTTTTTAATAAAATAACAACACTACCCCTACACTACCAAAGAAGTACTGTGACTTATTTCCCCAGGGATCTACAAGTCAAGCCCGACAGTGGCCAGTGCAGTTCAGTATCAAAATTTTGGAAAGAAAAAGGATTAGAATTGCTTTCTTGCTCTGCCCCTGGTCCCACAATAGATACTGAGCAATTCATTGTCTTGCATAGTTGTATCCCTCACCAAGCCTCTTCTCTGATGTGAAGAGTGTGAGCTTATCTTGTGAAGCTTAATAGATAACAGCCTAGAAAGTTCTACTACCCACACATTGGCAGAGCTCTGCAGAGCACAGCTCTGAATGTGCAGAAGCAAACACTAGGTGAAACATCAAGTACAATTAAACTCAACTTCCACATTCGATGTCTCTGCCCTCCACAGAGCTGGACCTGGCCCCAGACAATGATGATCTCATTTCCAATGGATCCTTCCACTTTTCTACCTCTTAGAGTATCAATACTACCTTTCCTGAATCAAAGATCTTTCAATGAAACCACCAGTTTTTCATTGTTTAATCCTCAGAAACATCTTGTCACAAGGAGCTGAAGCAGTACTTCCACATTTTCCATTTCAGGACTACCTACTTTTGCCTTCTAAACCTACCATGCAGACAAACTTCACAAGTTACCACATACAATCTTAAGACAAAAGTCAAGCTTGCATCAACAACCAGTCTTTGTGGTGCACACCCTTAAATCCTTTACAAAGGACATTCCTAGAGAACAGTGTGTCCAAGATCCTCTAGAGCTTGTATCAGCCTGCAAAGACTGTCTCTGAACAATGTTCCTTGGCATTTGGAACACAAGAGTCTCCTACTGCAGGGAGTCCTTCGTATTTGCAGGACAGAGGTAGCATGTACAGCACCAACATCAAACCCTTTATGTTAATGGCTGAAGGGAATTATGTGAATGGTGATGTCCATGCAGGATACCCCTGTGTCATAAGGCTGGACTAGAGAGATTGAGGACAGAAATTTTTGGTAACTCAGAAAAGCTGACATAATTTAGACAGATTTCTGTCTACAGGTTGCTAACATAAGTGTCCACACTGCCACACTGCACTGCTACTGAGCAAGGAGAAATCCCAAGTTAGATTCCTCTTAGAAGAGGCAATAAAAGCCTTGACTAGAACAACACCTATATTTCCACTCAAGGTAACAGCAAAGTAAAAACAGTGTTGAGGAAATTGCATTCTCAACATTCATGGAACCACATACAAGTCTTAGGAACTTGGCTCCATGTCAGGGTGCCACAAGGTGCCTGTGTGGTGCTGTGAGCAGCAATCCCTGCTGCAGTTAACACACATGGAATGTGCCCTGGTGCATGGTCAAACAGCTGGACTGGTGATTATGGAAAAAAATTTAAAGTCTTCCAAAAACAGGTATGTTGAATACACACATTTTGTGTTCATAGCTGCATTCACAATAATTTCTAAGCAACGCATATGCTCCTGGTTTTCATTAGTTACATTCAAGGTACCTTTGAGGGCAGGGGCCTGGAAGGGTGTGGGTTCCACTTGAGACTCAGCCTGACTCTTGGCAAAAGGAGTCTTTAGAGCACAAAGCTCAAAGGGCACTTCATTTCCTGAAGTCAACTCTGGATCAACATTCTCTTTGTTTCCATCCATCTTTGTTACCACTTTTCTTGTCACTGGAGTTGACATTGTGAATTCTGTATCATCCAGTTGAGCATCATCCCTTGGATGCTACAAGAGATGTAACAAAAAACAAAATACATCCTTTGCTGTATTCTGATCACACTCAGGGATGTTATAGACAAGGAAATTCTAAATTTGAAGCAGGTTAAAAACAACACACAATGCCTGCCTTTTGGCCAAAAGAGTTAAAAACTCTTTAATACTTCTGATTCCCTCTTTCTAACAAAGATCTCAAGCCACTTGCCATTTCTTTATCTGCCCTTCTGCATTCTTCAGCTTGCACATTTAAGACTATTCCTCACCAGTGCCTTTAAATACAGCTAAGAACTTTCATTTGGTTTAATCATATAATTTTAATTGCTGTATTGGACTTTCTTGTCCAATACAGAGAGGTTGAACTTCTTCAAAGACTTGTTCAGCTCTAGTCTAAAATCTTGTTTGCTGCACCTAATTGTTTTCCCACCAGTTTTAAAATCCTCATTGCCTCACTTACTCATTCCCTAGATGTTGTTTTTAAGCAAATCAAATGTCAAAGTTCTCATCAGACAAATAGTGGCCCACAGCTAGAGGAAGCCACAATTTATGTTAAGCTATATGTTCAAAACATTTCTTTACTCAGTTTGTAACTCCCCTTGGCCAGGGCCCATGAAAAAGCACTTAAAAACGTAAAGTTTTCTATACAAAGAGAGTAAGATTTTTTTTAGATTAAGAACAGTTTGGGTTTTTTTAAGGAACTAGTATTTACTCTTCCAACACCTGCTTTGTTTTGCAAGTATGTAGAATAAATTCTTCTGAAGGAGATTCTTCAAACCATGAAGCTGCATCAGAAAATTCTGCAGATCCCAAAGCCTGGGGCTCTTCCCTGCAGTCTGGCAGATCCTCATTTGTCACAGCTTTTTCCAACTGAAAAGAGATTCGGTTGAGATTCCACAGTACAGTTAAAAGGAAGATTTTAGTGACACTTTCCTGATTAAGTCTAAGCCTTCTCTCAGTTCTTATTATGGTCATTGTGGATTTGTTATTTTTATCAAAAGCAGCTGTGAAATCATCCTCAGAGCATCATTATCAAGTCATCTGCCTTGGCCTTTATCAAGAAGAGAAGCAACTCACAAAAAAATACCTGCCTTTGATTTCAGAACTTGACCACAAGGTCTTTTTACCAAAAGCCAAATAAGCTGGGAAGAACCCAAGAAAAAAAATGCAGTAATGTCTGAAAGGGGGTTGGATAAAAGTGAACACATTTCATCCAAAAGGTGATTATGGAAGCTGCAACAGTATTTGAAATAGCATTCAGAGCCCTTTGTCTAATTACTAGCCCCAAAACCCATCATTTAGCAAATCAGAAGACTCACAACTTCAGCCAGGGTTGCCAACCTTCATGGCTCACACCACAGACCACCAATGTCTACTAAGGCATCCTGAGTTTCTAGCACCCTTTGCTATTTTCAGGAAACTCTTCCCAAAGACTTGTTTCATACCACGTCAGTGAGATGGTACACAGTTATTTAAACTTATCAGTCCCCAGTTGGAATGGACTCCATCTCAGGAAGCTTTGCTCTGCTGATGACAAGCTTTTCTTGGCCTCTGATCAAGGGTATTGCAACGATCAGATCTCTCAGCACTGCTGGAATAGAAATAGAGCTTCCTGCTATACCAGACCTACTGTGATGACTTAGTGGAATGCCCTTGCCAGAAGGCTGCTGGCTACAGCCAAGAAGCCAACAGTCCAATATTATGGTGGAAATCAAATCCCATTGCCATATGAATGTCTGAATAGGATTCCTTATCTACTGTGTTCCAGATGAAGCTCATGCCAGGGTGAATTTCTTGGAATATCCTACGTCAAACTGCTTGAAATAAGGCAGTGTTATGTACAAACTTGTGCCACCAAATTCAGAAACTGGTTAAGTTTAATGTTTTGCTTTCTTGTCTCCACATTAGACCTGCTCTAGCTAGAGAACTTTCCTAGTTGAGCATTTCAACAAATTTGGTTGATACTCACCCACAGTATCTACATGTGGGTAAGTTAAGCATGTCCTGAGCTGCAGAAGGGCTAGTGGGTTGTTGTGTTGTGTAGATATCTGCACAACCACCTCTGAGGGCATCATGTATGTATTCAGTATCATTAACCAGATCAGTTCACTTCAGACACCACTAGAGATGAAGTAACTTCACAGCATTAGGGCTCCTGAACCTGGAGAAGTGCAGGAGACAGACCCTGATGATGGAAGTCACACTGCATATTCAGCAACATTTGTGACCCATGGTCTGCAAGGCAGCCCTGGTGACCTTGGAGCTGCCACCTGTGCTTCAGAGCAGCTATGTGAGGGAACTGCAGTGATCTACACACAGTGGAACTGGGCACACAGTAGGTGTTCATTGGGAGAGCAGGGAATGGCTCATCCATAGATCCAGCTGGCAGTTTCACATACCTGTCTGCAGTTCCAGCAGGAGCAGGAATGGCTGGTAGGAAGTCTGCAACTTTACTGAATACTTTTGAACCTGTGAGACACTGATGAGTATCACAGACATCACATTTAGCTGCATATTACATATGGTATTGCCAGCGATTCAGCAGCTTCAGACAAGTTTTGGATTCCCCTAATTACACTCTGCTACCACACCACAGGATTAGAAAGCACCCCGAGATACACAAAACTGCTTGAGAATCCAGGTCATCAGAAAAACATCAGCAGTGTGCTTCCTTTACCCAAAACAAACAGAATGCCCCTGGAATTGTGTTCTAAAAGGAAACATGAGGAAGGAATGGGTCTCTCCACTTTGACCATCAATCACTTCATGTAGCACCCACGTCACCTCAGAGTAGGCTGCCCAGATGCTTCAGAAGTCAGAAGACCTTACTTGGCCAGGTAAATGTAACTACCCAGTGACAAAAACACCTAGAGGCAAAGATGAGAGTGCAGCAAGAAGCTGGGCATCACAGGAAGATCTGGAATGAACACACAGTCCAGACAATGGGCAGTTTTAGTCCATTTCTGTGAGTATCCAAGGGAAGATTCTCTGCAGTCATGCTCCATGTTCTCCCAGATTGTTATTCTTGTAAAGTCAATACACAGAAGCTGCCCAGCCTGATAAAACATGTTAATGAGGAGACAGAGCTGTTTAATGACCAAGACTTTGGCTGACTGCACACATGCTGCTCCCTTGTTTAGGGCACCAGTGTGTTTTCCCAGGCAGAGCTCTGCTACTGCAGGGCAGTGTTCTGAGGGTGTAGCACTGCCACGTCCTGCCAGACATGCAGCTCTTAAGCAGACACATTTGCCACGAGCCTTCTTGGATTGAAGCAAGAGGTATGTTGCTGACATTTGGTCATATTTCCACTAGGGGAAAAACAAAGAAACAGATACAAATTAAAAAACTATTTTAAACTCCTCTTTGAAAATATTGTAGTACAAAGCAAGCTCAGCATTCTGAAAGTTTCTGAGTTTCTGCACATTTTTCTTGTGCATCCTTCATCTTTGGTCACTTAAGTGTAACTTCAGACTTCAGTTAATTCACACTAAGTGTCTGAGATCAACAAACAGATCATGGTGGTTGACCTTTGCAAGTTAGTCTGTAGTACACTCACCAGCATGAAAAATAATGTGGGACCAGAATCTATGTACTGAAGTGAATGGCAAAGCTATCAATTCAGTCTAGGCAATATTTAAACCAGAATCTCAATTTTTTGAAGTCTCTCCCCATCCTCCCTCTGTGAGCAGCACCAAATTTCTGCATGATTTTCAGCAAATCTGCTTGTGTGAGGAACATGGGTACAATGCTTGACAGGTTTTCAGCATTGTACAATTAATTTGAATTATAAGGGATTAGAAGTCTTCCAGTAAAGGACTAGGAAAAGGCCACCAACTGATTTGGAAGGACAGTTTTCCCATGTAGACAGATTATTCAGACTATTTCCTATTTCTGAAGAACAAGTAGCATTAATTCCACAAATCCAGCTTAAGCATTGTGCACATTTTAAGTTTATTTTTACTACACCCCTACGTAACAGTCTTTCCAAAGCAATTAACTGTGTCACTGCTACCATGTACAAAGAACCTAAGAAATTCCATTTAAAGGGAGAATTTTCAGATGCAGGTTAAAGCTGGAGTGTGTCATGTTTTAAGTCTCTTCTACAGCTTGCAGACATCATTGTTAACGTGTACAATTCTTCTACAAGTAGTCAGTTCAACTTTGTCCTCTGTATTCAAAAGGGATGAAACACACTCACTTCTTCCAGAACTGTGTATAGGAACTCCAAAATAAAAAGAAAAAAGATTTTATAGTCTGTCTGCTATTTTTCTCTCAGTTTAATTTTTTTTTCCTCTTACTCGTTGAGCCATTTCAAAGCCAAGAGTTAATCCAGCAACTGGCATCTCTTTTTCAGCTACAAATTTTTGTGGTTCTGTTTTGACTGTAAGAGATTCAGATGGATTTTACAAAGGTGGGGAATAACAGTAAGGTTTAGGAAACATCACAGGTACAATTAAAAGAGGAAACAAGAAAAAAAACCGAATTTCAGAACTGCAGTAATAAGCTACAGGGTAAGGACTCCTTGAATATGAAGAGTATTAAAAATCCATTCAGAATAAGTCAGCATTAGTCTGTTAATATAGTAAGTTTATTTACTGTATTACTGTGCTTAATTACTAATACATACTACTCACCTCTGATATTAATTCCAATATACTCTCCCTGCTCTGTTTATGAAACACAGAAAGCTCCATTAGGCAGTCTTCATCAAGACGTCCCAGCTGCAAGAACATGAGGGATATTGAAGCATGAGGCTTTCAAGGTGTTTCATAATCCACCTCTGACACTGTGGTGAAACCCAGAGGGCTGAGGCAATATTGATGATTATAGACCTTCTATTTCAAAGAGCATCATAGCTGAGTATTGTAGAGAACAGACTGCAGAAGTCATACAACTTCAACAACTTCATAGCCTGGGCCCTCCTTGGTGAGGGGCTGTGAATTCAAATAAGAAAGCCTGACAGCAGATGAAATTTTTACTAGAATGGAAGCTGCACTTTCACCTCGCCATAAATATTCAGAGCTATCAGACATGCACACCTTCCCTAGGCCTGATGCTGTGAGCACAGCAGAGCCTCCTTTACCCAGATGAACACTGGCACCCAGTGGCCGATGGGGAGCACTGGCTGCAAACATGCAGGGACTACTCAGTGCTTACTGCTGACAGCTAGATTATTGTAAAATTTTCTTCACCATATCACCTGAGTCTCTCACACAAGTGAAAAAAAGTGATGGAGACAGGATGAACATACTTTCAGTGAGGTCAGACTCAAACTGGCCATTCTCAGTGAGGACAAGATACAAGATTAATCTTAACCACACTGAACATGCTCTCCAGAGCACTTGTGTTTTGCACCTTCAAGTACTGACCAAGCAGCCTGGAAAACCAGCTGGTCATTCATATGTGGAAATACCTGACATTTTGATGAGAAGTCAATTACTTTGAAAATTAAGCATCAGCTGCAGAATAACCATGAAAACATACTTGAAATTGCACCTCAAAAGAAATCAAGAGAAAGCAGTAAGATCTTAACAGCAGGAGTCAGAAAGGAACTGTGGCCATCTCAAAGTTCATCTTTGGAGAAATGTTTTCACATCTCCCCTGCTGTGAGGATGGTAGTGTGCCAGTAAAGGTGACACTGAATACTTTAGTATTCATCTGACAAAAGTACTTACTGAGTATTTGCTTTGCCACTGAACAGCATCAGAATAACCTTGCATGAGCCAAGGGTGACTTAGTAGGTGCTTAACTGTAATCCGCTTCTTTGGGTCCACCTGTGGACAATAAAAAACAAGATGACACTTAAAACACAGAAGAACTGATGAAACAACTTGTCTTCTGCTCAGACTTTAGCGTGGTTAGAAGCTTAAATGGAAACCAACACTGTTTCATAGCTTCACCAAAAGGAAGGTCAAGCATGTGAGCTCTGAAGGCACAGCTACAGTAAATGTGCCAGGAATATTCAGCATTGGCTAGATGGCTGAGATGGAGCCCAGATGCTTATTCAGTATGTTCAGCTTCATTTACAGAAAAGTCCTTGTTTATTTAGCAAATTAAGAACAACCAAATGCAGGCTGTGGCTGCTTGGAGACTTTGTTTTTTAAACTTTGCTAACACCAAATCATTCTTCTCACAGAATTTTCAGCAGAAGGCAATAATATTTTATTAAAAAATCTGTAAGAAATAAACTTGTTTAAACACTGAATTTTTAAAAAGTATTTCATCAGTCTAATGCTTTGACCTGGACAGTAGCACTTTACAGACCTGCTGAATAGAAACAAAACCTTTACCTGCAGCATTTGGTTAAGCAGCAGTGTGCTGCTAGGAGAGAGCCACTTGGGAATACTGTATTTTCCTCTCTGCAGAAAAGAAGAAGGTTTAGAATGAACCTTGAACATCTAGCTCAAAAGGAACTGCTAAATTACTTGGATGACAGTGATATCTGTATTCCAGCAAAACAGAAGAGAAGCAGGCACAGGCAAACCCAGCTCTAAGAATTACCTGAATACCTTTAATGGCAGCTAAAAGCCAGCCCTGTTAGTAAGGAAAATGCTGGTTTGGGTAATGAGCTGCAGTTCTCAGCCACTCACCTCCTATGTTGTTTCCATCTCAGGCCCCCTTTGCAGCCAACATGCTCCTCATCTACTGCCTTGTTCCATCACATCCACCTGACACTGAGGTTTTACAGTGCAAACAGATTGGAACATGAATGGCTGGTCTTAGCACTTTGAAAGGTGAATTTGTTAAAATCACTACTTTTCAGACATCAAAAAAACACACCCTCAACATTTAGATGATTTTTTTTTTAAATTGGTTACATCTCATGTGAGTCTCAATCTCTACTCATAATGCAGACAGTAAAAAGGTTACAGGTCTAAAAGGTAACTTTCTTTCAATCAAATTATTTACTTTTTTGTGGGGCATTTTGTTACATTCTTGGTAAGAAAAATATTGAAAATGGCGTCCAGATTTGATATACAACAGTAGCTAAAACCAAGCCAAATTCAGCATCAAGGATCATTTACTTCAACAAAAATGGAGAAAACAAATTCAGTGAACAGCCATTGTGAAATGACATAAATATCAATTGGTCATGGAAGTTTTCTTTGTACAAAGTAAATATCTCAACAAGAGTTGGTTTTACATACAACATATTTTTAAGCAGAGTTTGCATTGCTTTGACATCACAGACTAAAGAATTTAAATTACATCTTTACAGGCTCTTCTAATGGACTATTTAAAAATTGTAGGATGTTTCACAAAGCAGCTTTCCTCTGAAACTAAGCCAGGTCAAGTAGTACACATGGTCTGCCTTTTATTTTTAATAAATAGCTACAGAACATGAGGCAAGGAGAAAAAACAAACTAGCATCTACCTGACTGAGAGCAACTCAGGAGGGGAGTGGTTTGCAGTAGCTACCAGATGCATAAATCACACCTGAATTTTATTTTTTTTTACAGAACTTGGATCACATGCTTGATTTTTTATTCAAAGAGTAAAGGCACTTATTCCAGTATTCCAAATGAAGAATGTGCAGCATTTCAGAGAAAGGAACAGTGCATGTAAGTCATAGGGTCCTAATTAGTTTCAAGTAGCAGATTCTTACACTGACTTGGAGCAATAATTCTGAGTCAAGGGTACAGTAAATTTCAGGATCTATGATATGGGAAATTCAATTTCACAATAGTGCATAAATGTCCTCGTTCCAAGCAATTCTCAGTTCACAGCCACACAAGATGAAAACAAATTCAGAGTGGAAATGTCCAGCCTGCATCTTGGCACCTGTGACTGCACCCAGACTAAGTTTAAAACTTGTCCAACATCCTGTCAGCCCAGACACCTCTGCTCTATTCCTGTGACCACACAGAAACCACCTCTGGTGATCTCAGGGGCTCCATTCCACACAGAAGCTTTGTGTTCATGTTTCAGCTACTGACAAGTGCAACAGAATGGCAACTGACCCAGCTGGTTAAGGTAACTCAGGACTTGCATCCTGGTATAACGACCTGCCAGAGGGATCTTCTGTCCTACCAAAGTCTGTTTGTAAACAGACAAGCTCTCCTGTGACACAGACCTTATGGGAGGACAACATAGTTCACACCACAAGCAGAGAGGGAATGGGAGCTCAAATCTGGCAGCCCAGGTGATTCCCCTTCACAGTGATTTTACTGGGAAATTGCAAGTGCTTGTTAACAGTGTCTGGACAATGCTATTAGTCATCTGACAGCATTAGGTAGTCCTGGGAGGAGCAAGGAGATAGATTTGATCCTTATGGGTCCCTTCCAACTTCATATATTCTAAGATTATGCAACAGAAAAGTACTATCATTTTAATGGTGACCCATCTGAACATCAACACCTTCACATGATCTCTCTGGGTCAGTTAGCCACTGCTTCAAGTTCTTTACAACAACTCAAACTGAGCTTCCTACACATCTCCTGCCAAGGTTCCCAAGTCCACTCCAATTCCAGATCAAAAAGCCATGCTGTCTGATGAACTAATCCTGTACTTCATAGAACTGGCTGTTTTGCACCCCAGAAGCACGTATTGTGTAAATCAGGTGTCAGTTGTCTTCTACCAGAGTAGACCTGGAATACTCCTGAGGCATTTTTTAGTGTTTTTTAGATGTATTAGACTTCTAGTGAGAGAAGGAGAAAGAGGCAGAGGAAGCCAAAGCCCTCACCCAGCATAGCTATTCCTCATCCCACTTGCTTACTGGAGGCTTCACCAACATCAGTTTTATGGCTGCTCAGAAGTGGTTGGTAGTGGTATGTGTATGATGTGGAACAGCAGCTACTCAGCTACATCAGAAGTTGTAGTTACAACAGGGAAATAGTATCACTGACTGAATTCTGTTGTTATTTTTTCAGCTTGTTCTGTTAGTTATGCTGTCTTACACTTCAGCCTCATGTTGGAGGAGAAAAGGATAATAGCACATACAAAATCCTACTTTGATTGACACGAGAGTAGCTGACATGTAAGAATATAAGTTTTGCTGAATGAAATTATGTATTTGCAATTCTATTCCACACTACACAGGGAGAAACTAAATGAGGGCCCAGACACAAAAATACAGCCCACCAGCAGGAAAATGCTTCTCCTGAAACCCAAATTCCTATCATATTATAGGGCTGAGCTAGAGTACTGCAAAGGGCGAAGATAGAAACAAACCCACAAAACATTGACAGGAAAAGTTGCAAAATATAACAAAACTCAGCAAATATGCCTTTTTGGCCTAGGCACAGCTCAACAGGTTTGGCCACCAGGGAAGTCAAGGCCTCTCACAGTGCTTTGCCATGTCTGTCCCTAGTGTATTCTAGCACCAGCAACACCTACCATTATCTTCCTGTAGACAGCCATGACATTGTCATCATCAAAGGGGAGAAAGCCACAGAGTAGAGCATACAGCAGTACTCCCATGCTCCAAATATCTGCCTGAAAAATCAAAGTGAGTGGAAGTTCATTAACTTGATTAATTAAAAATAGCTTAGGCAGGTAATACTGTCCCCCTTGGGCAAAGCCCATATACCAGTCATGAAAAGTAGGTTCCTAAACTCTGGACAGCCCTCTTACATTCCAAATGAAAGCACATAATCCAAATTCAATTTTCAATTCACTCAAGCTGAAGCACTGGTGAAACCAATATCCTCTCCTTAGGTCACCAAATTGCTGTATTACCTTCAGTCTACAGATTTCACTGGCAAACATTAAATCAAACTCAGGACATGGGATTTCATCAGCACCGTATTACTGATTACAACAGTTGTCAGCACAACTATCATTAACTGTAGAGTCTTCCTACTTCTTCTCTATTTGTATAGGAGGAGCAAAATCCACACAGCTCTTACTGTCATTCCCACCCAAAGAGGTTTGAAAAGCACAGGGCTTCATGGAAAACAAAGCAATTCAAAGATAAATACTGAGACAGCACAAAAATTGCAACAAGACTCAGATAAGCTAACAGAAAAAAACACTGCTTGAAAGAACGTGTGGTAGAAGGAAGAAATTTAAGTTACTCTTTTGTAGGGCACCAAAATATGGAGCAACAAATGGAGATACCGAAGAAGTGAGAGACAAACTATCCAGCTACATGATCCGTGACCAAAGGCATCATGTGCTACCTGTCCAGTGGCACTTAGGAGACAAACCAAGTGAGCATATGTGGACATCACCACCTCTAAATGTACAAGGAGAAGAGCCCCCAGCCCAGAGCTGTGCTACGTACCTCCGAGCCGATGTAGGCTTTGCCCTGGATCAGCTCTGGTGCTGCATAGGCTGGGCTTCCACAGCACGTGCTCAGGTGGTAGTCGAGGCCACCCTGCAGTAACACAGCAAACCCATCACACACTGGCTTTAGCACAGCTTAGCTCTGCCGCCAAGAGCACCCAACAGGCCTCAGCACCTTCATCTTCTCTGCCCTGCATCTACATTCAACATTTATTTTGCTTTTGGTGCAGCATATGGCTTTAACAGGCAAAAGTTATCTAAGACCACGAGTATCCTACAAAGGCTCAGATCCCAAGATGCTCTTTCATTTGTTGTCCTAGCAGTCTTTTCCACAACTACTCCTCTGGCAGGAATTGTGACTGAGAAGGGCAGTGAAACTGGGAAAGAAGTGATCCAACCACTGCTGGGCACAAGGCTAGCTCATTATTTATACCAATATTTAAGGCAGTAACTTCAGGAAGAACCACCAAAAATGCTTCCTTATGAAAACTGTGTTATTACTTTGCCTGGACTTTGTTCCAAGCAGATCAGAGTAAGATGATATTATACCACAGGATGGTGGTTGAAGTCCTGATTGCCCACAAGGTGCTCTAATTTGAGTCAATTAAAACCATCTGAGGACAAGTAACTGTCTTCAGATTAGTAAAACATTGTTTTTTAACAGCAGTCACCTCTCATGTCAAGCTCACAATTAGAAAAGGCTCCTAGAAACCAATTTCAAACTCAGGAAACAAGTCAGTACAAGCATTTGTAATGGGAGGATTTGTAAAAGTAACTGCAATAAACTATTTGATTCGATCCACAATGTCCACATGCACATAAATATTTTGAAAGAAAATGTACACCATTGACACTTCTAAGGGAAAAATACACACCAGCATGAGCTTCACAGGCCTCTACATGTGCAGGTGCAATGGATACAGAATGGTCTCTGCCTTAGACTAGGATCAAAGATGGTGCATCAGAGGAGGAAATGACTGAGCAGTCTGGTCATACCATGCAGGTAACTCCCTCACACAATTAAGGCCATACAAATAATTAGTGATTGGATTACAGCCATGCAAACAGCTGAAATCTGGGGCTTTGTTAAGTTTCTGCATTGTTCCCTAAAGTCAAACATGCATTTTCTACATGCGTGCAGTAGCCGATTTAGCTCCACTCTGTGAAAGCAACCGACATCCTTACCTTTGGCTTTGCACAAAGTCCAAAGTCTATCAGCTTCAAGTTATGTTCCTCATCGATGAGCAGATTTTCCTGGTAAAAGAGAAAGTAGTCATGAAGGCTTTGATCATCAAAGTATCCAAGTAACCAAATTGTATTTCACGTTCTTTCTTTTTGTCATTAAGTGCTAGAAGCTCCCCTAAACCTCTCCTGTGGAGACTTTGATCAGTTATATTCCAGATGGGGAATACTGTTGCCTACCTGCTGAGAAGGGCCTGGGTAAGGGGGGTCGACACACAGTGAGCTGGACACTGGGCAGCAGTCTGTCTGCTCTGGCAGAAAAGGCAGCCAGCAGTTTTATGGACTCTATTAAAAACCAAGCACAATTCCAGGCTGGGTGGACAATGGATGAAAAGGAGCTGGGGTGTTGGTGATGAGCAGCTCCCCATGGCCCAGCCGTGTGCCCAGAGCCCACCTGTGTCCTGGGCTGCATCCCCAGCAGCGTGACCAGCAGGGCCAGGGAGGGGATTGTCCCCTCTGCTCTGCTCTGCTGAGACCCCCTGCAGGGCTGGGGCCAGGCTGGGGTCCCCAGCACAGGAGGGACATGGAGCTGTTGGAGAGAGGCCAGAGGAGGCCCTGGAGATGCTGGGAGGGCTGGAGCAGCTCTGGAGCCAGGCTGGGAGAGTTGGGGTGTTGAGCCTGGAGAAGAGAAGGCTCCAGGGAGACCTGAGAGCAGCTTCCAGGGCCTGAAGGGGCTCCAGGAAAGCTGGGGAGGGGCTTGGGACAAGGGCAGGGAGGTATGGGAGCAGGGGGAAGGGTTTCCAGCTGGCAGAGGGAGCTGGAGCTGAGATGGGAGGGTGGGGAGAGCCTGGCCCAGGTTGCCCAGGGAAGCTGTGGCTGCCCCATCCCTGGCAGTGTTGAAGGGCAGGTTGGATGGGGCTTGGAGCACTTGGAATGGTGGGAGGTGTCCCTGCCCATGCAGGTGTTTGGGAATGGATGGTCTTTAAAGTCCCTCCAACCCAACCCATTCCATTATTATGTGTTTCTATGAAAAGGAGCACAGGGAGTAGCTTGAGGGAGTCACTTCAGCCTTGTGTTCAGCTCAGCTAGAGTAGTGCATCTAGTTTCTGCTCCCCCAGCACAGGACAGACATCAAACTGAAATAAGCTCAGTGGATGGCAACCAGTCTGCTCAGGGGGCTGGACTGCTTACTCCATGAGGACAAGCACTGGGAACAACGTTCAAACAGCCTGTAGATCAGGAAGCTTCAGTGAATCACACAAAATGACAGAATTGCTGTAGTTGGAAGGAACCTCTAGAGATCACCTGGTCCAACTGTCCCACTGAAGTAGGATCACCTAGAGCACATCCCACAGGAACACATCCATATGGGTTTGGAATGTCTCCAGAAATGGAGATTTCACAGCCTCCCTGGGCAGCCTGTCCCAGGGCTCTGTCACCCTCACAGAAAAGAAGTTTTGTCCTCATATTTAAATTGAGCTTCCCGTGTTCCACCTTTTACCTGCTGCCCCTCATTCTGACACTGGGAACTACTGAGAAGAGCCTGTCTCTATCTTCCTTGCACCCATCCCTGAGATACTTGTATACATTCACAAGGTCTCCTCTGAGTCTTCTCATCTCTAGGCAAAAGAGTCCCAGATCTTTCAGCCTCTCATCAGGGAGATGCTCCTATCCCCCTGTCCTCTTTTTCACCCTTGAAGGCTGCCTTGAAGACCTCAAGGCAGCCTTTTAATACCTCCAAGGAGGGCATGAAGACAGAGCTAGCCTCTTCACAGCAGTGCATGGTGGGATAATGACAGGCAACAAGCATCAAGAGACCTTCAGACTGGAAACAAGGACAGTGAAGAGCCAAAGAGGTTCCCCAGAGATTGTGCTGCCTCATCCTTGGGAGAAGGGGGTTCAAGCAGAAGCTTCTACAAGTCACTACCCCAAAAAATTGGCACGATTTTACACATCTGTTTGCTCTCCAGCTACAAGCCAAAAGCTTCCAAAAGGGATGTACAACTCTTCATTTGGAGAGTTGCTCTTTGGAGACAAATATTTTGTGAGCTGTCATGATTGTGCACTAAGAATTTTCTTTCAGCATCTTTAAAAACGTACATTTCTAACCCCTTCAAGGAGAGATTGACTCAAATCCTCCATTTCTTACACCTGTGCTTAAACTCTAGGACGACAGCAAAGCCACAGGATGGGTTCCAGCAGCACACACCTCCCCCTACACCCTCTCTCTAGTGACCACTTGCTTAAACTCCCAGTGTCACTTTTCTCTTTGGGTGTGAAAACAGAACAGCTTGCAGAACAGTGGCAGCAGAGACTCTCTCCAGGTACCAGATAACAAAAATGCCTAAGAAACATTCAAAGTGAGATCCATGTCTCTTCTCCACTCCCAACTGGAGTGTGTTCTGCTTCTCTTTCAGAGGAAGCTCTTCCCTCACTCACAGCTGCACCCAGCTCAGCTAGGGAATGCAGCAGACCACAGGAATCATTCTCTTTAAAAACAATGGAGAAGACATAACTTAGTCTGGTTCCTAACAGAGAAATAAGTGAGTGTTGACTATTATTTATGCAAATCTGTCTTACTGGTTTGAGGTCCCTGTGGGCATATCCCTGGCTGTGCACGTAAGCGATGGCTGACACGATCTGCCGGAAGAAGACTCGAGCTTCCTCTTCTGACAGGCGGTCCTTGGCAATGATGTAGTCAAACAGCTCTCCTCCAGGGCAGTACTGCAGAGACAGGACACAGAACACAACACAGCAGTGGAAACTGAACAACAGGAGCACTGGAGAGCAGAGGGAGGATGCCCTTCCCTGGCCCCTGCTCTGTCCCAGGCACAGCCCCAGGAGCCTTGGCTGGGGTGGTGCAGTGGGCACGTCACAGGTGACACCAGCTGCCCAGGAGGTGACAGTCACAGGGGAGCTCTGGGGTCCTGCACGTCCTGCTGAGGCTATTTTAAAACACCTCAAGTGCAAGGTAGGAAATTAAACTAATTTCACCTACTGTAAACAGTGAAGAGCTGCCTTTACAAGAGACAGAACATAGAATATACTACCAGCCTCAGATCTAAAGTAACTTGAACATACTCATCACTGAGATAACTTTTTAAGAACTGTTCCATTTCATCTCTGTTGTCATCTACCACTACAGCTAAAGCCAGGAACATTTCCCATGGCAGAAACACCACTTCTTACCTCTAAGACCATGAATATTTTCTTGGATGTCTCTATCACATGGTACAACTGGCAAATATGCTGGTGGCTCAGGTTCTTCATGGCATCAATTTCTATTTTAACACGAGGCAAGTCATCCTAGGAGATCAGAAGAGCAAGGTGTGACATGGCTGACCACTCTGACAGTACATCACTGTACATCACTACCAGGCTATTGTGGAAGACAAAATTCCACAGGATCTGTACGACAGCACACAGCCCACCTTCTCTGATTCAATCCAGCCACAGCTCTGCCATCACTCCCCTACAATTCTGGCACACTGATGCACAAACCCCAGGGGGGCAGACGTAAAGCACCTTGTACTGTCACCAGCGTTTTTTTGGAACTACTGTAACATTTAAGTTCCCCCATTTTAAAGCCATGGAATGTTGCTCTGTCCACAAGAGGACATGAGATTTGCGGCCTTCTGTTAAAATTCTTTCAAGTCTACAGCACCCATCACTAGCCAGCAGGACAAGCAGCAGCAGTTGAACATGTCACTGAATGTCAGAACACCTGGAGGTGCTACCAGCTTTTAATTATCTTTTGGCTTACCCCTAGAGCAAGTTTGTCCATGATTTTTATTGCAACTTTTTCACCAGTGAGAAGATGTCGTGCACATTTTACCTTCGCAAACCCACCTAGAATTCAAAAGAGAGATGTTTAAAGCTCAGCAGGATGATGTGCTTTCCTGCCTAGAACCTGGAAGATGTACCATGCTCGGCGTGTAGTGTCTTTCACTAGAGGAAGAAATTGTCATTGCTACCAAACACCAATTACATTTCCAGAGTTCTGCCCACAAAAAGACACACCTGAAATATGGAATTATCGAGTGGCTTGTTTTGGGAGGGACCTTCAAACATCATCTAGTCCAAGCCCCTGCAGTAAGAACATCTCCCACCATCCCAGGCTGTTCCAAGCCCCATCCAACCTGCCCTTCAACACTTCCAGGGATGGGGCAGCCACAGCCTCCCTGGGCAACCTGGGCCAGGCCCTCC